TACAATAAAATTTTGTAGCAACTCCCAGTTTTAACCATATTGATCCATAACGAAGCCTGGCGTACGTAAGGTCGTAAATGGAATTGTCCGTGTATTCTGTAAGCCGTTTCATAGATGTCGAATCCCACATGGGAGCCTCCTACAGCCGTATTGATGCATTGTAATGCCTGGTTTAGGTATATACTCATATAATTACTTATTTGCTTTTTATTATTACCTTTTTAAGGAAGGCTGTAAATCTAAGAGAATGCCATAGGCAGTTTTGTGTGCTACATTATGTAGTACATCCTTTCAAATCATGTGTAATTACACGCAGGAAAATAGTTTATCTTGTTTTAAGCAAACCCATATGTACACTCCTCGGTCGAAATAGGCTTACGTAGTTACTGACGAAACATTATTACCCCCAACCTTCGAAGTGATACGTCATATGGAACTGGCCCATTTTACAAGCAGCCAGCAGAGATCCTGATTTTCTTTTCGTATACCTGTCACATTACCAAGACCAGAACGGAGCGGTTTCAATCAATCGCACTAGTCATAGCAACATTTTCAGGGCGAGAACCCTCGTCTTATTCACCATGAAATTGGTCCACTTTGGGACGATTTATTGTGCTGTTGAAAATTTGTTTGTAAATGTTATGTGCTAATTTACAGTTACCACCTTCCCTCCCGCCGTAATTGTAGACAGTGCTGTAGCCAGAGGCAACCTTAAATTATTTATTCTACTTTATAACCTACTTCCGCTATTTTGAAAAAATAGAAGTGGGCGTATGAGGTCACCATGCTGTCTGTATGGCTGTGAATCCCACCTATCAACTTCTGAATGCCTGAATTGATCTCCATGAAGCGTAGTATGTATTTCATGGCATCTGAGCGCATCTCAACGACGTACTTCATAAATTCCTTATCTTCCTATCGTTGCGAGGCAACGGCTTGGTTAAACGTTACCGTTGCAATGAATAGACGCGCAGCAATTCAAGAATTGTTGAACGCTGCATTTCTATGCGGTCTGTGTTGTCTTAAAGTAAATTAAGTTATTCTTCCCAGAGCTTCTTGTTATTTCTGGAAGGCTTGTGGACAAAAGGGGAGCATTAATCATGGTAGTTGATTTGTGAATAAATGTTTCCGTGGTTGAAACTTAGCCTCATTACGAAATCAGAGGTTTCGGAGTCAGTAAGTTACATATTACGATCTTTGGTTGTTTTTGGCGCGATAGCTGATCACAGTGACTGACCTGGGAACGCATCCTGCAAACCAGGTCTGATATTAGACTCATCTGTTACCTTTTCTTAGTTGGATGTTTGTTTCTGTCCCGTGAACAGAGATGGAGGTGCCTTGTTTCTTGACTGTCAGTTCATGCAGTTTCCCGCAGTTAGTTTCTCCTTTCAAATGCCAAGGGACTCATTAGGAACCGCGTGTTCGGCTTTTCAGCCAAGCGTTAAGGTGCAAAATCAGCAAGAATAAAAGGTGTAGACCGCAGATTAGAAATAATGGGATTAGCTGAACTTTACGCGATTATACCGTGGACTGTTAACATCCTTCTCGCTGCCCCACCCCACTATCTCACATAGTCTTGTATCAGTTTTCCCGTAAGGAGCACGCAGATCGAATTCTGCCTATGTGTACAAGTTCAGAGAATCATAATAAATGACCATATCGATCCCTCGGAATTGTATTGGAAGTGAATTATTGAAAGCGGCATACTTAAGTATTGTAGTTGCGAATTTTATCGCGACATAGCGCAGGTACAAACAATTTGGCGCTCTGTATCTGAGATGACCTTCAGTCATATTTGAAATACCGGCATGGGGATTTCGTGCTGATCCTCTCCAGATTGGAATCTTACATAACAAGACTAGTAAAGAAGCCATTGCGTTTGCTTATAACGAAACCGAAAACCACCCAACTTGAATTGTTTTCGGTGTGAGTACTATGGGCTAACATTCACTGTCACAAGAGTAGATTTATCCATTTATCTTGGTAGTGACAAGTCGAAGTAACTGTGGCAGAGGTTCGCCTGTTACTGAACAACGGTACCTAGATTTTGTATACTAAATGGCCGAGGAAGTACTGTCAAACAAATAGGCACTCTCAAACAAGGAACACATATTTAAGCCAAATGTATTCCATATGAATGGCGCTCTTTGGATCATGCAAATTCCATACATTTTTAAAAACCCGTTTATTACGTATCATGTGAAGTCAGCTGAAGAACGCATTAAGTTTTTCGGCAATAAGATTCTCCCCATTTGAAGGAGGATGAAAGTATTAACACGTATTTTTGGAATTCGGAGGTTACTATTGTGAACCGCACCAAACAAAATGGCGGTCCGTATGCGACCCGCGTTCTGCGGGTTGGCCGGTCAAGGCTTAAATAAGTAGCCCAGTGTAGGTAGCAGACTTTCTCCCTGTACTGTAAACCCCTCCCCTCCGACTTTGGTAATTCAAGAATCGAAATGTTTCGTTTAGACCCAGAGGACTAAGTTTTCTCGTTGTATTCCAGATGCTCTGATTGAGGTCTCCACCTCCGGGAAATCGTTGTAGGCTTGGCGCTTCCACCAGTTTGTCTGTAGACCGTTCAGTGAAAAATAATCCTTAATGTATCAATAATCAGAATTTACTCAGAAATATGTCTCAGATAGACTTGAAAGGATTCTGACGATGGTGTATACTGTACT